ATAAGCCTACAGGGTTCCGTATAAGCCCTATAGGGAACCCTATAGGTTTTTAAGGGAACCCTACGGGTCCTATACAGAATCATTTGGGTCCTATAGGGAACATATAGGCCTTATGGGGAACCCTATTGGCTCTATAGGGAACCCTATAGGTTCTATAGGGGGCTCTATAGGTTCTATAGGGAACTCTATAGGTCCCAAACTGAACTCTATGGTGCCTATAGGAACCTATAGGATTCCATTAGGTTCCTATAGGAATCCTATAAGACATTTTCGTAAGGGTTTCCTCCCTATATATACAGTATTTTCCTTTCCACAATCCGCGACAAACCCAAAAAAAAGGAGAAAAAAACAACCTGCTCCGGCAATCGCAAATCCCATCTAAAGATAAAGCAAGTGACGGCTCAAGGTTTCACTTCCTGCTCCAATCGTCATTTTGGGGATTCATAAGAGTGACGAAAGTGGTAAATTAAAATAAAATAACGGTAAAAATAAATCATTTCCTTTCTTATATATTATCGCGAAACCACTATTTACGATCAAAGCGGTTCAATTATTTGTTCTCCAAGGTGTTTTGCCCCGGCGCCCTTTAATTAAATTTCGGACTTATCACTTACTTATCTTATTTATTTAAAGGCCATCCACTCGTCGGTGCCGGAAGGTGATGCGGCTCCGATGAGGTTCCGGATCCGAGCATTCTTTCCCTCGGCTCCGTGCGGGAATCCTCACCTGGGGGATCCGAGATTTTGCTTTGAAAAATTTTCTGCGTTTTGCTAATTTTTTTTGCTGCGATTTTTTCGTCCGAGGATGCGATTCGTCCTTCTTCTCTCCGTTCTACCACTCTCCCAGGTCAGATTTCGTCGCTTTTCGTTTATATATGCCTAGTTTTCGTAAGTGTCGGACACTTCCATTGCATCAAGGTGTTAATTTTAATTAAAACTTTAATTTTTTTAATTAATTTTTTTATTTAGTTCATCCCTGTCTTTTCAGGGAGGGACGAGGCCGAGATCCGACGACTTCGGACTGTGTGAGTCTTCCGATATAAATCGATGACGGAAATGATGTCATTTAATGTGAATTAGTAACGAAGTACCTTTAAAAATGTACCAATAACATCGTGCTCAATGACCAATGACCAATGACCAATAAGCAATGGTCTATGAGATAATTAAGGGAAATAAGACCGAAAAGTAAAAAGAAACTTGGTGTTCGCGGCCAAAATTTACTTCGCCAATATTTCGAAACCGCTAATTGATCCCGATTGATTTATTGATCCTTCACTCGATCCCGGCAAAACGCATGCGAAAAAAAATCGTGGATGATTGGCATTTTGATCATCGTCGAGCTGGTCCCAGAGGCTATTTTGTCGGCGAAACGCGGCCAGGCATTAGGGGTAATATGACCGCTCGATTACGATAATGGGTGAAGCGTTGATTAACAATCGCCGCGAAGCACGGGATGCGAGGCCAAGCAGTCGCAAATGTCGCCATCAACTGCACTGTAGACCGCCGACGATGTCGGCTTGAAGATTTCCGCGAATGGCCGACTCGGAAGAGCTGCAAAGCGAGATTGCATCGTCTTTCGGAAGAGCTGCAAAGCGAGATTGCATCGTCTTCCGGAAGAGCTGCAAAGCGGGATTGCATCGTCTTCCGGAAGAGCTGTAAAGCGGGATTGCATCGTCTTCCGGAAGAGCTGCAAAGCGGGATTGCACCGTCCTCCGCCTGAGAGAACTTGCGCTGCGAGTGTCCACTAGGAGGTCCTACGGCGCAGTTGAAACGTCGCGGAGTTTTTCGTGCGGATGCATGAACGGGAAGGGACGCGTTGCATGAGGACATCCGTTGCATATTTAATGCGGATGTCCAGCGGATCTCCGTCCTTCCGCTTCGGATATCAGGCGAGGCGGTAAAATCTCCGGAATTCTTACGTTAAAAAAAAAAATATTAACACCGGCGATAGACAAGCGCAGTGCATCCATGAAATCAATCATGCGTCCCTTTTACCCTTAATCGAGATGGATAATCCCCCGTTAGGGTGATTATCCATCTCGAACGACAAAGGCGAGAAGACCGCCTGCAAACCGCAAGTGAGAATGCAGGCGCTTTTCCCACGCCGTCTGGAGTCAAATTGAATGATAAAACCCTCTGAAAAAATTGTTTCTACATCCATTCTGCAATGCCGTAACAAACGGGAAAGTCGCCTTATAGTATCATAAGTCATATATCGAATAAAACCTTATTCCACGTATGACTGATGATAATTAGTAGCTGCGATTAAAAGCATCCGCGATCCGGAAAGATTTTCAGAAAGCAAAAAAAAGCCCCATAACGGAAGCCAGCGATAACGAATAACCGACCGTTTGAATTAGTCAAGCGACAAAATCCCCTGCCCCCCCCCCCCCTCTGCTCCCCCCCCCCTCCCCCCCACACGACTAAAGTCGCTCTCCCGCCTCTCGCCCCCCAGGGCAACCGACGCCCCCGTGCGTGACGACCCGGAGCCTCCTCCCCGGCGAGGAAGAGAACATCGTCGGGGACGACCGGGGATTCCCCCACCTCGCCCTCTGCAGATTCCACTTCAACGTGCGGTGCCATGAGTTCCTCGCAGGCCTCTAAAAAAATATTCGCGCGCGGTTTAACGGCGGTTTACCATTTTAGTGTCCGGTGGATATGCGGATGGAGTGTCCGAATTTCCGGATTCCGGAGTCGCCGGCCTGCTCGATGGCCGGGTTCGTCGTCGACGGGAAGAGGTCCGGATTTCCTTAATCCACTCTCTTGATCCGATCTCTTAACCTGCTCTCTTGATCCGGTCGCTCATAACCCGTTTTTCCCAGATATTGCGGCCGGAGGAAGGCCTTCGAGGTGGCGCAAAACGTCGGGAGACGGCTCGACGGCTTCTTCTACAGCGTCTTCACGCCCGTCAGGCCCGGATTCCGATGCACCGTCACTTGCGGTTATTATTATTATTATTATTATTATTTCTTTTTATTTATTTATTATTTTTTTTTTACCGTAACCTTACATCTTGCTGAAAATAATAGCTCATGTATCTTGTGCCACAGGTGATAGCCGGCTGGGGCTAGTGTCTCGAGCGCCGCAAAAAACTGTCGCAAAAATTAGACGACAAACTAGTCGTTCCCCTTGCAGTAAGTCTTCCAATAAAGCCAACGAAAATTTAATGAATATTTTAATGAATATTTTAATGAATATTTTAATGAATATTTTGGGAAGAAATGCTAAATTTCTCCGCCAGCATGCGGAATGTCCCAAGCCGACGACCCCCTGAACCCGATCCACCGTCAGCCGATGTCCCGGATCTCCGGCGGCGAGGAGGTGCCCGAGGCGACGAAATACCCCTGGATGGCCCTGGTGTCCTCCCCGGTCTCCTTCTGCGGGGGAGCGCTCATCAACGACCGCTGGGTGGTCACGGCCGCGCACTGCGTCCAGTCGTGAGTCTGCGGTTGTGCAGTCGGTTGCGGGGGAGGCACATCCTTGTGACGTCACGGTCTTGCGAAAGGAGAGCGGCTCGGTTGTGGATTCCTTGGTTCCCGCGGCAGGGGACCCGAGTTCGAAACGAAACAAATGAGGCATTCGTTTCCGAGTGGAAGCCCCTCTTCCTCGAGATGAGAGGGAGAACCTGGAAGCGAGACATCGCGAAGGGCGAAGACGTCTCCCGCGGTCAGAGGAATGATCGACGCGATAGAGATGTGATCGGCGGACGCGGGCGCGCGTTCTTTCGCGGGAATGGTCCGTGCCCGCGTCTCGCTTGTCCTCGTGAAGAGCGAAATCGCAGAGCGAGAAAAAGTTCCTAGATGGGAAGCGAAGCCGCTCTGCGGGGGAGAAGAAGGGAGAAGAGGGGAGAAGGGAGAAGAGGGGAGAAGGGAGAAGAGGGGAGAAGGGAGAAAAGGGGATAAGGAAATGTCCTACTGATTCGCGTGACTTCTTTAATGTGGATCGTGGCTGACGTCCCTCCGCATGCATGCGTATTCGTGACCTCCTCGATCCCAGGGGTTGCTCTCGATCCCAGGGGTTGCTCTCGATCCCAGGGGTTGCTCTCGTCTCCTTGTTCGACGAGTCTCGACCGGTCAAAGGGGGTTAAGGCCAACCGGTTCGACCGTTCTATACTTTTAATGCCGAAAGAGGTGATTAAACGTCATCTCCCACCTCCGAGTGGAGAGGGTGACTTTCACCCTTTCACCCTTTCACCCTTTCACCCTTCCGCGAGGCAGTGGCATGTGGCTCCTGGGTCGAGGGGACGAGCAGAGCGGACGGTTTTAGCAGCTGCGGAAGGCCGAGGTCCGCCGCCGATGCGTTTTGACGAGCGGGTGAGGACGCCATGGTAATGAGCAACCGTGAAACGGGCCGTGTCGGCGTGACAAGGTCGGGCCGGATCGACTGGATGTATTTTATTCGTGCCTTCTATGCAGGAAACTCATTGCACGCAAGAAGCATGCATTTTCATCGTATTTACTCTTTCATTCAATTTATTAATATATACTTTATTTTTCCATTTATTTTACGCGCGTGAAATCCCGACTCGCATTTCCCCCGTTCCAGAACGAGGGAGCGCTACAAGGTGACGCTCGGAGACCTGGACCTGTCGAGACGGGACGAGAGCCGGTCGATGACGCTCCGGGCGACGAGGATCCTCGCTCATCCCGACTACGACCGGATCAAGGTGGACAACGACATCGCCCTGGTGGAACTCGAAAAGCCGGTGGATTTCGACGGGAACGGGCACATCAGGCCGATCTGCCTCGAGTCGGACGCGACGCCCGTTCCGGGCGACGCGGCAGTTGCCGCTGGGTGGGGGAGCGTCTACTACGGTACGTGTGGCCTTCGGAAAGGCGTGTGGCCTTCGGAAGGTCCTGCCGTTTCTTTTCGTTCGCATTTCCTCTTTTCGTGCGTTCGACGCGGTTTTCGATTCAGTCCTTGGCGATGTGGGACTGGGCCAGGGAGAACTGCTACTTTTCAATCTTGGCTTCTGGATAAACCGGATGAGAAAGACCGAGGAAGGACGTAAAACCGATTCCAATCAGATTTTCCACACCGGCGCGATCGAGAATCTTTCTCCGGAATCTCTCCGAAAGAGAGGACCGAGTGGATCCCCAAGGACCGAGTGGATCCCCAAGGACCGAGTGGATCCCCAAGGACCGAGTGGATCCCCAAGGACCGAGTGGATCCCCAAGGACCGAGTGGATCCCCGCAGAGCGTCTCTCCTCGCTGGACTAGAGGGCAACGAAAGCCGCGAGAGGGTGACGGGTCGAGGACGAGAAGAGGCGACGCGCCGCGATAGTAGGTCGGCGAACGAAGGGGAAAAGCCTCGAACGATCTCATCTCCACGGTCGAGAACGGAGGAGAAAGGCATGGAAAAAGCAGGGAAGGGAGAGGATAGGGAAGGCATGGAAAAAGCAGGGAAGGGAGAGGATAGGGAAGGCATAGGGAAGGCAAAGGAACGCTGGAGGCGAGACGAAAAAAGCCTTCACCCTCGCGACCGAAGTCGGAAAACGAAGATGAAATGAAGATTGGGAAAACGAAGGTCGGAAAGGGTGGTGATCCACGTCGTCGAGGTTCTAACGAAACCCAATCCGAATCGCACCTAATCGCACCCGTGGGTGCACCGGAACCGTCGCGACACCCCTGACACCTCTCACCCTTGAACCGTGCCCTTTTCTCGCTCCAAAATGATTTTCGACGAATGGACCTCTAGGCGGTGGAACCGTCTCCGTGATGAGGGAAGCGAACGTGACGATCCTGAGGGACAAGGAATGCAACCGGGCCTACCGCAGCAGCGATCGCTCCGTCACGGCCAACATGTTCTGCGCCTCCAACGCCGGGATCGACTCCTGTCAGGTGAGTCCACCCCCCCCCCCCTCCGATGACGTCATCGTCATATGGCGTAATTGGTTCGGCTATGATTTCGCGATGCGATTTCGCATGATCGCGGCCAAGTCAGAAGATTCGGATTAGGGCCTCTAAATCGCTCGAGTCGGTCGAACGAAGTTCAACAGAACTCAAAAATGTCCTAAAGGAAAAATGAAGGAACATATAGGAATCCTATAGGAACATATAGGAATCCTATAAGAACATATAGGAATCCTATAGGAACATATAGAACCTGAGACATCTTATAGGATCGATTGGGAGAATCGCATGAGTCTGCGATCTGTTAGAGCAGTGGTGATACGGAAATTATTCACAGAAAGAAAAGTGATTCACATTCCATGGCGTGAAGAGGAACGACCCAGCCAACAAACGAATATCCAATCGGCTATTGCTCGAACTTTAAGTCTGAACCTTCCCGGCGTCGTGGTGGCATCGCATCTGATATTAATTCGATATTTAAATGCCGCTCATTGGATTTCGACGCCGGCTGAACGGCTCGATGATGTTGCCAATAACGGCTAAATACCGGCATTCCAATATTGCCATCGGACCGAGTCGACGATCCAATATGCCTACGTTGCACTAAAAAACAAAATTTTTTTGGGCGAAAAATTTTTGAAGTTCTCCTAATCGCATTTCCGTCATCACAAAAAAGTATTATTTCCTCTTTCCGCGGAATCATCTCTCGCAGGTTTTGGATCTTCCCCGTGTGTCTCGCCTTGCATCGTTGAAAAATCAGGAAACTTGGACGCTTCCTTATTTGCTGTCTCCATATTCCAGACGGAATCATGGAGTCCAGGCCAGAAGCAATCTCTATCCCCTATGAGAACTCGCATGAAATATGTACCATTCAATCTGGAATTTCAAGAAATGGCTGGCATTGACACGTCCTCACTGCCGTTTCCGTAGGGCCGCGAATGGGCAGAGAGCGATGCTACTGCACGCAGTACTAGTACTGAATATGCTCCCCCCCCCCCAGGAAATTAATCTATTCAGTAATTTCCAGTAATTAATCTAGACCAAAAAGCAGCGCCAATATTAGATCCCGGTGGTCAACCTGTGTAGTCGCAATTATTTTCGCAATGCCAAGGTTTCGAAACGAAAAAATCACCGAATCCTATAGGACCGGAGTTCCATAGTACCCCATAGGTTTCCTACAAGAAATATCCATCGGTTTCCTATAGGAAACCTATAGTTATTTCTTATAGGAAACCTATAGTTATTTCTGATAGGAAACCTATAGACTTTCCTATAGGTTTATGAAACACGAAAAACCTTTAGGATCCTATAGGATCCCTATATGGTCTTATAGGATTCGGAGAGGATTTTTTGGGTTTCGAAACCCAAGCATTACGACGGAAAAGGCGACCACGGTTAATATTGGCGCAGTATTTCGGTGTAAATAAAGAACCGATTAGTGGTTTTTCCATGGTAGGGACACATGCATTATTAATACCAGTACTGCGGTGTCTCCATAATTTATGGGCCTGCCGCACATGTGTCGCTGGATTGCACGTCTACTTCTTTCGGTGGAGAGAAGCAGTATTCTTCTCTTAACGTAAGAAAACAGAAGGCAGAACCTGCGAGCACGTCCCTTTACTGAAATTTCATTTAAATAGGGTCAACTCAGTTTCGTACGTGGTTTTCAAAAGGAATGAGAGCATATTTCTTCACGGGACTCCATGATTATATCTGGAAGATGAGGATGACAAATAAGGAACTGTCGAAGTTTA